GGAACTGAAGCTGTGTAGATAGTTTGGTCATAAAGGAATAAAGTAAATGGAGCATAGTGTACATAGATTCCTTTCCCTCAGATACCCCATACCATACGTAGCATCTTTCCCAGGACTCTGGGAGGAATTTTCTCAGGGCAGGAACTTGGGAAAAATTCTGTTATCCTTACATAAGTGTGTGGATTTATGTCTATGTCTTTTATTTGACTTTGTATATCAACCTGCATGTTTTTATGCCAATACCATGCAGTTTTTATTATTATAGCTTTCTGGGAAATAATCCTTCTGTAGACTTTGTGAACATAGGTTGCTATGATTGGTTTAATAAACAAGCTGACTAGCCAATGGCTGAACAAGATAACGTTAGGTAGGAAAACCAAACTGAGAAGGGTGGGATAAGGAAGGGTGGAGTCATGAGTCTCCAGCCAGATGCCAAGGGAGCATGAGATGAACATGCCATGCTAATAAAGGTACTGCCACATGGCAGAGCATAAATAAAGTATATGGGTTAACATAAAATGTAAGAGCTATTGGCTGAGCATTTACAATTAATATTAAGCTTCTGTGTGGTAATATGGAAGCAGCTCCTGGAATGGGAAAACTCCACCTACAATAATATCTCTGTAGTATAGCTTAAAATCAGGGATGGTGATACCTCCAGAAGTTCTTTTATTCAACAGGATTGTTTTAGCTATCCTAGTTTTTTTTTCCTTGTGAAGTTGAATATTGTCCTTTCAAAGTCTATAAAAAATTGTGTTGAAATTCTGATGAGGATTGTGTTGAATTTCTAGATTGCTTTTGGTAAGATGGCCATTTTTACTATGTTAATACTACCAATTCACAAAAATGGAAGATCTTTCCATTTTCTGATATATTCTTCAATTTATTTCTCCAAAGACCTGATGTTATTGCCATATGAGTCTTACACTTGCTTGGTTAGAGTTACTCCAGGGTATTTTATATTATTTGCTGGTGTGAAATTACTTATTGGGCTGGATAGATGGCTCAGAGGTTAAGAGCACTGGCTGCTCTTCCAGAGGTCCTGAGTTCAATTCCCAGCAACCACATGGTGGCTCACAACCATCTATAATAAGATCTGATGCCCTCTTCTGGCCTGGAGGCATACATGCAGGCAGAATAGTGTATACATAATAAATAAATAAAAATCTAAAAAAAAAAAGAAAGAAATTATTTCCTGTGTGTAGTTATTCTCCTTGGGTTATAGTTTTCCATCTAGTACCTACTGTGTGGCTGGATTTGTGGATAGATGCTGTTTAAATTTGTCTTTGTCATGGAATGTCTTGTTTTCTCCATCTACGTTGATTGCAAGTTTTTCTGGGTATAGTAGTCTGGGTTGGCATGTGTGGTCTCTTAGAGTCTGTAAGATATCTGTTCAGGCCCTTTTGGCTTTTAGTGTCTCTGTTGAGAAATCAGGTGTAATTTTAATTGGTCTGCACTTATATGTTACCTGGCCTTTTCCCCTTGCAGCTTTTAATTTTCTTTCTTTGTTCTATATATTTAGTGTTTTGATTATTATGTGGCAAGGGGACTTTCTTTTCTGACCCAATCCATTTGGTGTTCTGTCAGCTTCTTGTACTTTGACAGGCATGTCCTTCTTTAGGTTAGGAAATTTTTCTTTTATAATTTTGTTAAAAAAAACTATTTTCTGGGCCTTTGAACTGAAATTCTCCTTCTTCCATTCCTATTATTCTTAGGTTTGGTCTTTTCATAGTGTCCCAGATTCCCTGGATGTTTTGTGCCAGGAAGTTTTTAGGTTTAACATTTTCTTTGAGAGACATATCTATTTCTCCTATAGTATTTTCAATGCCTGAGATTCTCTCTTCCATCTCTTATATTGTGTTGGTGATGCTTGTGTCTATAGTTCTGTTCACTTACCTAGACTTTTCATTTTCAGAATTCTCTCAGTTTGTGTTTTCTCTGTTGCTTCTATTTCCGTTTTCAGATCATAAGCAGTTTTATTCATTTCCTTCAACTTTTTTTTTTCTTGGCTTGGTTTAAGGGATTTATTCATTTACTCCAATTGTTTTGTTTGTCCTTTCCTGGCTTTCTTTGAGAGGTTTATTTATTTATTCTTTAAGGACCTCTACTGTCCTCATAAAGTTGATTTTAAGGTCATTTTCTTGTGCTTCAGCTGTGTTGGAATATTCAGGGGTTGCTGCAGCAGCATGGCTGGACTCTGGTGGTACCACATTGCCTTGGCTGCTGTTGATTGTATTCTTATGCTGGCATCTAGGTATCTGGGTGTTGGATGAATATAGGTGCAGGTGCAACTTCTGAGTTTGTCTTTGTTAATGGGTGTTTTGTTCTTTGATTTCTGTTTCCTCTTTGGTCTTCTGGTCTCTTTGACCTAGATTTCTGGCAGCAGGTCCAGCATGGAGTCTCTGTCTCAGTTGGGGCCTGGACTCCTGGTGGCTAGCATGGCCATTGTTTCAGCAGGGGATCTCCACCAGAGTTCAGGGTAAGACACAGGGATGAGGAGGGGAGGGGTATTGGGGACAGTGTATGTGGGGTGGCACTGAGGGGTCCATGGGAATTCTTGAGGCTGGTGTTGGTGTGGTTTCTGGTTCAGCAGGGAGCCTCTACCTGAGTTGGGGGCTGGGTCTCTGGCAACTGGCATGGCCTCTGGTCCACCAGTGAGTCTCTGCCTGAGTCTGTTAATCTGTTCTGGCTGCTGTGGTCTGTTTTTCTGGCTGGTATGACCTGTATCTATTCTCCTGAGTGACTTGTTCTGCACCTGTTCTTCTGAGTGGTGTGACCTGTACCTGTTTTTCTCACTGGCATGGCTTGCACCTGAGCAGAGGTTATCTGCTCAAGGTATGAGTGGGCACTCGGCAGTAGAGGCAGGCAAGCCCTGGGAAGGGGTGGCAGTGGATTGGGACTTTGGGTTCTGAACCAAGGTTTTGGGGAGTCCTGAGGGCAGATACTACATTTATTTTTATTGGTTTCTTGTTTAGTTTTTTGAGTTCATATTCTGGATATGAATTATCAGTCAAATGTTCCAAGATTCTCTCCTATTCTTTAGGTATCACTTCAATAGAATAAACATTTCTTTTGTTGTATAGATTTTTTTTTTAATTTTATGAAGTTCCATTTCCAATTTCTAGCTTAATTCCAAAGTGATTTGAATTCTTTTGGTATGTTGTTCTTTCATTTAAATTCAATTCTGGGAAGGTTTGATTTTCTATTGAAGAAATTAGTAATTAGAATTCAATTAGAAATTGCTGATTTCTTCAATATCATCTTCACTATTCTATGTTGAGTTGTTTAGTCTCCATGAATTTATGTGCTTTCTGTGGTTGTTCTTAGTGTTGATGTCTAGCATTATTTAGTTCTGGTCAGATAGAATATAAGAAGTTACTTCATTTTCCCGTCTTTGTTGAGATTTGCCTTGTGTCCTAATACATGTAAGTTCTACTTCAGATAAAGTGAAGATGGTCTATTCTGCAGTGCTTGAGTGGTATGTTCTGTAAGATATCAGTTGTATCCATTTGATCTATAATGTCATCTAACCCTGGTGTTCCTGTATTCATTTTTGGTCTAAATGACTTATCTATTGTTTTTTGTGGAACACTGAAATCACCCACTATTACTGTATTGGAGTTAATCTGAGGCTTTATATATACTGACATTGTTTCTATGAAATTAGGGGACCCTGGATTGGGGGCATATACAATTAGAGTTGTAATGCTCTATTGATGGATTGTTGCCTTAATCAAGAAGTGCCGTTTTTCTTTTTTATCTTGTATGAATAGTTTTTCTTTAAAGTCTATTTTGTTAGAATAGGCACTGCAGTTTTGTTTCCTAGTTCCATTTGCTCTGAATTACTTTTTTTTATCTCCCTCATTGAAGATATTTGTCTGTTTCCAATCTTGAGGTTTGTCTCTCAAAGGCAGCAAGGAAACCTGTTTATCTTTTAAAAATTAGTCATTGTATGTGTTTGTGATGCATGTATGTAAGTCTGAACAAGCAGGTGTCCCAATGTGCATGTGTGGATTAAAAGGCATCTTTCCAGAGCCGGTTCTTACCTTCTGTCTTGAGGCAGGCTCTTTCTGCTTGTTTTTCCTAATGCTGTATACTCCCAGCCAGAAGCCCATGATCTTCTGGGTGATTCTCCTGTCTCTGCCTCCCATTGCACTATAGGATTGTTGGGACTGCAGATGCATACTGTTGCATCTGACTTATTAATGTGGATCCTGAGGACTGATCTGAGTTCCTCAGGTTTGTGTGGCAAGGGCTTTTGCCTGCTGAGCCAGCCTGCCAACCCAGATGCTGGGTGTCATTGTTTTGCTTAAAAAGTAAATTTATTTATATGTGTTTGTGTGTCTCTGTTTATGTGGGGGTGTGTATTTGCTTGCCACAACACGTGTGTGTGTGTGTGTGTGTGTTTGTAGGCCAGAGTATAACATGGAAGATTCAATTGTCTCCTATTATGTGGATCTTTCAATCAAATTCAGGTTGTCAGTCTTGTTGGCAAGTGCTTTAATTTCCCTCTGAACATCTTGCTGACAATCCTACACTGGACAAAAATTTTGGAAGCCACTAAAGCACAGAGTTGGGATGGGAAGTACATTGTTCAGTGTAACCAGACTCTTGCTGAGAGAAGTACATGCCATATCATACAGTTCAAGTGTCAGGTCTTTAGGCCTGTGTAACGTTGGTCAGCCTCCTCTTGGAACCCACAGTAACTGGGAAGCTAGTGAGATTCTAAACCTGGGTTCAGTGGAAGCCCCGTTCTCAATTTCTCCTTGGAGGGTAGGAAAGATTTCTCAGCCTTTTTTTTTTCCTGAGCAGATTTCTCTGCTTCTCATTGGCTGGCTTGTGTGGAGTTCTGAGAGACAGGTCAGGTTACTGTGCCAGACATATCCTGGAAGGAGAGGGTGGAGGCAACAGTCTGTAAAACAGGATCTTGTGCTCTTAACAGAAGTTCTGAAGTAAGTCCCCCAGGACAATAGCTCTCAAGGCTCTGGAGCATCTAAATCATGTCTGTCTGGTGGCTGCTGCTGCTAGCAGGGCTACCTACATTCTTACTGGGAGTCTTTGTATGGGTTGTTATTCAGCATTTGCCCAGTGCAGAAATGCCTTCCACCCTGAAGCATCCAGCCAAGCTACTGTTTATGTACTACATGTTGCAGTACCTGATAGCTTTGGTGAGTGTTCTCATGGGCCCTGCCATGGATTGGGGGTGCTCTTTGAACCCTACCCTTCTCCTTTCATTACCTTCTCTTCTTTCTCTAGGTTCTCATAGGACTGAGTTGGGGAAGTCTCTTGTCTCCCACCTCTCACCTTCCCCATCTCTTTTCCTTCCTTTTTTCTCTTCTTGGATTTTCCCTCTCTCCTTGCTTCCTCCTTCCCTTCCTTCTTTTCTCTCCTCTTTCATTTTCTGCTTTTATTTTCTTTCTTGTTGAGAAAGGATGTCACACTATATTCTAACCTGACCTTATCTATAGTCTAGCCACCTTAAAGTGGCCATCCCCTACTCTCATCTTTTGAGGGACTTTATTACAGGGTGCAGCACTATGTATGTATGAAGCTATTTTCTGAAAACTGTGAAAATAATTTCAGACCCAGGTTCTACCCTCTAAAGCCTCATAGATCCAAAACCACATTCAGCCATAGCCCAATCACCCTTTGTTCCATGTCCTTGTCTCTGGGTGATTCCTTATATCAACTTGAGACCTGAGGGCAGAGATTAATTTACTAGGCTTTGTCCTGAGAACAATTCAGGCCCTCTTTGATGACATCCATGTGATGGATCCACCCAGCCCTTTAGCATAGTTGCATGGACAGTGGTGCCCTGTGCTGGTCTTCTGGGCTGGAAATTGGGGACAGAGATCAGCGCATGCTGATAGATACAGCAGATGTGTGAAGGATAGTCTGGCCCCATGTGAGAAGTAGGTAAATAGAATGAGTCCTTATTTTGAAATTCTGATTGGAATCCTGGCAGTTGACAGATATTTCGCAGTGATTATGTCAAAAGTCACCTGAGGAGGAGGTGTGGAGGAGAAAGGTAACAAGCACACAGCCAGGTTGTCCAGTAAGCACTGCTGCTGTGTTCTCACTGCCTCAAGAGACCTTGGCTAACTTCCCTGTGCCTCAGCATCCTCTTCTGAAATGAAGTAATGGCTTCTGGAGGACCATGCTGCTGAAAGCGTTAGATGGCACTTTGATAAGGAGGCGTCATAGGGTCTGAAAAGTTGTGAAAACATATACTCCTGCCCTGTGGAGATTTTCCACCAGGAACAATGGACCACTTTAGAGAAATAAGGAACATTAAGGGTCACATGCTAATTTGGGCTCCTGGCACTCCAAATGAGAGCCTTGGGTCACCAAAGGCAGAGAAACATGTGGATCCTTGCAACCTTACTATTTTACTTTAAAAACAGTCCCTAGCCAGGTGGTGGTGGCACAAGCCTTTAATCCCAGCACTCGGGAGGCAGAGCCAGGTGGATCTCTGTGAGTTCGAGGCCAGCCTGGGCTACCAAGTGAGTACCAGCAAAGGCGCAAAGCTACACAGGGAAACCCTGTCTCAAAAAAACAAAAAACAAAAACAAACAAGCAAACAAACAAAACAAAACAAAACAAAAAAAAAAAAACCAGTCCCTAATCTAAGCACCTGCTGATGCTGGCAGGCTACATGTGCTCACAGAGAATGTGGAGTTGAGTATAGTGTTTCCTCTTCATGGTGTGTTCTATGTGGGAGACTCTGCCTGATATCTGTAGCCCAGAGACCGCTGGCATGCTGCCTATAAGGATGGCAAGCAGGAAGAAATCCAAGTGGTTGATGTTCTCATGGCCCAAAACAAAGAAAGGAGAGTCTGGTTTATATAGAAACAAAAATAGCTTGGAAACATTCCATGGTCCCAAAATGGGAAGCTTAGCCTTGCTTTGTGGCCTCAACAATAAAACAAAAGAATGCTTATCTATACTTTGAAATTGTCATACATGACATTTCGTTGTTAAAAATTCTTGAATAATCATTTATTATTTATTGTAGAGGTGGAGAACAGGAGTGGAATGACATGCATGGGGTTCTTCTCCCCATTGACCTCTTCCTGATGGAAGGGAGACATCTAAATAATTCTACATTTGCAATGTAGTCTTCAATGACTTCTCACAGTGTCTGGACAGTGTAGTGATGGCTTCTAAGGAAGAAGTAGCCACCCATGTAAGATGGAGGAGGTGGAGGGTGTCTTCTCAATAATATGACCTCCGAGCTTGGATATTCACGTCATTTTGAGCCTTCTGCAGCTTTCCAGGCCTGAGAGTATCAGTTCTGCACCTCTGCTCAGAGTTCATTGTCCAACAGTTGGTTACTGCCTGTAGGACTATGAAATGTTTCCAGCCATGTGAAGTTTGCCCCTTGAGTGTCATGAGCTGCCTGCTCCCTTTTGGAGGGAAAGTTTCCATATAGAAGAAACTGCTGTACATTATATACATTAAAAACAGTATCAGGGACTTGCCCTCTGGAAGCTGTGACCTCCCTAGCCACTGGGTTTTGTCTTGGTTTACAGTACCAGATATGAACTCTCTCACGTGTAGTGGGTCTTATGTGCAGTGGAAAAGCTGTTGATTGTCCCACAATAGCCATGTCCCTATTTCACACACAGGCACACCTTTTCTGGCATTTGGTACTATAGCATGCAGGGACCATAGCTGAGCATGTCTTTCTGTGACAGTTTTCCTCCAGCAGCCCACATAGCACATTCTGGCACTATGAAAGACCGTCAGTAAGAAGAAAACTTCCACCTCTGTCCCAGCTTTATTTCTTCCTGTTTTGCAGCCAGATCACATGATGTCTTTAGCAATAGTTTTACCATCTAGTCCTGGCAGGTATCCAACCACAGTGGCCAGAGCCTTTATGTTTTATGGGGCCTCAGGTGCCTCCCTGCCTCCCTGGCCAACAACTTGTAGGGAGGCAACCCATGTCTGGCACCTGGGGTTTCCATTTAACAAAGTTATGGCCTCTGGGGGTGCCGTTTTCACCCCTGCAGGCTGCCTCTGTACTTAAGTTCTTTAACTATTGTTTTAATAATCTATTAAAAAAGTAACCCAGGCCCAGTCGGTCTGTATGGTGGTGGATGTGTCATTGAACCTGCTTGTATTCAGTCACACTTGGCACATCAGTGTGTGCAATGGCTACTCTTGTCACCACCAAGTCTCCGTGAGTGCCCACATTTACCACTGAGTTGTGTGATGCTTTAGAGTGGCTTTAATAGTCATTTGTTTACATGGAAATGCTTGCAAGAAGCCTGTTTTGGTGTCTATGCATGTATATTTTCATCCCTCCCTGAAATATTCAGGTTCTATATAGTGTACTTACTAGTCTCTCTTGGGTCAACTTGACTTATTTAAATGCCCCATCCATATCTGTTGCCAACAGCTGTTTATGTGGTCCTACAATGATCTAAGCCTTCAGATTAATAGTTTATCATAGCCTCATTAAAAGTCCTTTGAGCCTTTTTGTCTCAGTTCCATATGGTCACTCTCTTTACCAAGTTTTACAGTGAGCAGGCAACTTGGGCAAGTTTGGATGTGAAAATCTGCCAATTTCACAGGAGTCCAAGTATACCTTTATCTATTTTACATTTGCAGACACTGGGTGTTACAAGATTTTCTCAATTACTTTGTCAGGTATCATAATGTGGTCTTACTGGACCATAGCACTCCCAAGAATTTTATAGCTATGCTTGATTCTTGTACCCTGTTGGATCAATCCCTCATCCTCCGTCCTCTGTTATTGAGGTGCACCTGTATTCCATTTAGGTGAATTCTGAATTTTTAGAACACTAAGACTTTAGGAATCTGTCATCTATGCAATGGAATGTTTTTTATAGAGGATGAATAGTATAATTAAGCATGCTCCAGGGTCAGCAGCCCATGACAAATAGTGGGACTATGAAGGTACCAGTGGGGTATGATTCTCCATCTACACTGTTGATGGATTCAATTGAACACTAATTGGCCTTAAGTTCCAGGGGCCAAAGAAAGACCAAAAAAATCTGCCTCAGCAATGTCTAATAGTATAACAATATTCTATCAATTGTCTCAATTATCTTGCTACCTCATCCTGAGGCACCTTCATGGGGTATCTGTCCTTCTTTTCACCTCTGTGGGATTGCTGTAACAACTCCAAGCAGTTTGGTGTAGCCCAGAGCAAGGAGGAATGGTTGTAATCATTCTTGGAGTTTGGAAAGCCCTAGAGCAATGGTTTCAGCAATGGGTCATCTCATGTCACCTCTCATTAGAAAAGGCAAGTATGCCTATGGTCATAAGACAGGAAAACCAGATGACCTTATTCTTAGGAGACTATTATGAAGATAATTATCCCCGTCACCTATAAAGGACTTAAGCAACACAAGATGATGCCACATCATTGCCATTTAAAATGCCCACCTCTTAATACTGACAATGGAAATTGAATGTGAGTTTTGATGGAGGGAGGCCAACACTTCAATCACAGCAACATCATCATTCATTCAGGACATTTTGGGAAGTAAAGTTCAAACAGGCTCCCCTATATGAAAAGAATGCACAGTGAGTTATGTCCCCATGACCTCTTTGCACATATAGCAAGCAGGTGAGAATTGGTGAATAAACCTGAAAAATGCTTAGTGGCTTCAGCGGCTACTCACCCACCACACTCTCTTATGCCTCACTTTCCATCCTTTGTCTACTACAGGGGAACATACTAGAGAAACTGAGAATTTGTGCCATGCCCAGGTTTTTACAGTTTCTCCAAGGCCTAATGACGATAAAGAAGGATCCTAATGTGTTGGTGACTGACATGCATTTTGGAACAGTCCCTGTGAGGCTGTTCAAGCCCAAGGAATTGTCTTCCAAACCCCACCGAGGCATCATCTTCTATCATGGAGGAGGTGCTATGATTGGAAGCCTAGGTAAGGAGCTTCCATTCGAGGTGGGAAGTAAGGTCTTCATCAAAGGTAGAATCTGGCACGTGTTCTCATGAGGACTTGTCAGGAGGGAGTAATGAAGGTAGAAGTTGGAGCCTCTTAAAGAGAGGATGGGTGCAGAGCTCAGGGCTCACCCCAGTCAGTGGGTTGTAACTTACACAGCAATGGTTTCTATGTTGGTCTAAGTCTACATTGGGGCAGCATGTCATAGAAGGACTGTCCTGGAACTAGATGTGACCCCTACCTTTCCTCTGCACTCATAGTACTGGCCATTTCTGCCTTTTCACGACACTCTCAGATTCCTGCACTTTGCTCAGCTTGGCTGACACATGGTGAGAAAATCCGTTCACTTCCTCCCCTTCACTGCTAAACCCAGAACACAGTGTCTTGGCTCCAGTCGTCATCTTTAGCTTCAGTTTTCTCTTCCCACCTGAAGAACCCCAAAATATACTTCAGAGCTTCTCACTGCTGCACTGCAGCCTCTCCCACCCCGTGGAAGCCCCCTGCAATCTTGTCTCTTCTTTCTCTTGCTGCCCTTCATGTCCTGTAGCCACTGAACTTCTCTGAGCTTCAGAAAGATGTCATCTCTGGGTGCAGGATGGTAGCTGCTGTCTGAGGGGCTGTGGTGGAAAGTGCTTGGTTCTTGTCACAACTGCTTTAACACTGGGTCTTCTCTTGCAGACTTTTACCATGGCCTGGGCAACCTCCTGGCCAGTGAGACAGACTCAGTGGTGCTGATGGTGGGGTGAGTGGCAGGAGACATTTGGTGACTCATATATGCTGGGGTATTTATTGGAACCATCTGGGTGACATTAGATCATAGACAGGCCCTGATTTTGGGATGTTTTTTTCTTTATGTACACTTCCTTATGAATGCCTAGGAGTTTAGAATTCCCCAGGCCTTGACAATAGCTCATTCACAGTTCCTGACATGGAGTGTCTAACACCCTCTGCCCTTTAAAGCTACGGTTGCTGTTTCCCCTGCTTTTGTTTCTCTTGTGGCCACTGCTGCCTCTGTCTCCCCTACTGTCTGTCTGCTGTTGGACTTGAGTTCTTTTGTCAACACTGCTTCTCTGCTCCCCGTCACTGCCATTGCTGAGGCCTCACCTCTGCTCCTGTCCTGGACACTGGGTAGTTCCTGTGACGCTGCTACCACTGTTCTCAAGGCTTCCGGCTTCTTCCAAGGGCCGGTCATCATCGCTGTCAAACCATCAGTGGCCCTTGTGGCTCTACCGCTGTCATGGCTCAGCTCTTCTGTGGTTCTGCACTCTCTGCTGTCACTGCCACCACTACTTCTTTCTGGTGGCCTGCTCGGTCTGCTCTACAAAAGCAGCCAGAAAACACCCTCTAGTCAGAGCTGTTTGTTAGGTCTAATGTTGGAAACCTAGGAGGCAGCCAACATAAGGAGATGCCTCCCAGCTGGCTCCCAAAATGAGCACAACAGCTTGCTAATCTAATCAGAAAAGAGAGTTGCTCCAGTGTCAGCAGACCTTCATATACAATCGTGTTTATGAGAAGCATCATATTGGTGAAATTATTAAGGCCACTCCATGTAGTTAAAAGGAGATTTATTTAATGGCGTAACTTACAAATTAAGGGATAGGTAGGTCGCGGGATCTGGGGAAGGTGTATCGTAGTCCAGCGGTGTTCTCTGGAGCTCTGCTTGGCCCACCTCCACCGTCCAGGGTCCCAGAACAGAGAGAGAGCGCTGGCCCATCCAGATCTCGGGTCTCCAGGTGCCTCCCTTGGCCCCGCCTAGTAGGCATGACAGTTGCTGAAGTCTCAATGGGGGTTGGAACTTCCAGATCAAAGCTGGAATGGCTACCCACTAAGGCATCATTCTATTGTCCCTTCTGTACTAGGCCAGAGTCCCTCTGCTAGGTAGATGACCTGGGAAATTCCCATTCTCTGGGTTCATATTGGAAGGAAAGTGTAATTCAAATTGTTCGAAACACTTTTGGCTGGCGCTGCAACTTCAAGAACTTGGGTTGTGTTTTACAGGCAAGTGACCACAATTATTGTGTAGTTTCCTCAGTGTTTGTATGGTGTTCAAAGTAACCAGTGTTGTTGTAAGTCTAGCTGGCTGCTTGACTAACAGTCATTTTCTGAAAGCAGCCTTATGCAAGAGTCTAAGAGCTCCCAACTAAGGAGTCCAATTTCCTAATCTCCTGAATCTTTTGTTTAACCACAGGAAAATAAACTTTAGAATGAATGTCTTATTACTAACACTGGTATGACTTTAAGTGTGTTTTGGGGTGGTTTTAGCAATGCTCACTATGTACCCTGAACATCAGGAAAAGATGAATCCAGGAAGAGGTGGGACCAGAAGAGTTCCTGTAGTCTTTCCTGGATCTTTGCAGGTTGTCCCATATTCTCAGACAACATGTTTGAACTTTCTGTATTCCATGTAGGGTGTGCTCATCTATGGGAAGCACAGTGTTGGTGGAAATGGAGCATCCTGGGAACCCTGATCCTCATGGTTCCTCAAGTGCATGAAGGAAAAGTGTGGGTTGCCATGTTTACTTGTTAGGATCACTCTGAGGATGGAGTCAGGTTTGGTCCTTTGGAGAGTAGATGACGATGATTGAAATGGCCTCCAGTGACCTCTTTGTAAAGAAGCTTGCTGTGTTTGCTCTTTCCTCCTTAGATACCGCAAGCTTCCTGACTACCATCACCCTGCCCTTGCCAATGATTGCCTGAATGCTTCCATCTACTTCCTGAAGAACCTGGAATCCTTCGGGGTGGACCCATCCCGGGTGGTTCTCTGTGGAGAGAGTATTGGAGGTTGGGCTGTGGCCAATGTCATGCAGATCTTACCCAGCATTGCCAGTCTACCCCAGATCCAAGCTCAAGTCCTGATTCAACCAATTGTGAATTTGATCAATTTTCAGTTACCATCACATCAGCAGAGCAAAAATGTGCCATTCCTTACCAGAGACATGATGTTTATGTGTATGTTAAAATACCTGACTATTGACCTCTCTTGGAAAGATGCCATGTTGACAGGTGCTGTTATACCACTGGAGAAGTGGAAGAAATATAGGAAATGGCTCAGCTCTGACAACATCCCCAGAAGGTTCTGGAGCCAAGATCCACAACTGGAGTTTCTTGCACCTTTTAATGAGGCTGCCTATCTAGAAACCAAACATGTTTGGAGTGCAGAAATTTCCCCTGTCCTAGCAGATGACAAGATCATTTCTCAGCTCCCTAAGACATTTCTGGTGAGTTGTGAGAATGACATCCTCCGGGATGATGTCTTGCTCTACAAGAAGCGTTTGGAAGACCAGGGGGTCCCTGTGAGCTGGTACCATGTGGAGGATGGCTTTCATGGATGCTTAATGTTGTGTGATAAGAAGTGTTTTTCTTTTCCTTGCTCTATGAAAGTTGTAAATGCTGTTGTCAGTTACATAAAGGGCATTTGATAGTAAATTTGAGCTTTCTGTGGAGTGGGACAAGAAAGATCTATGCCTCAGCTGGGGTTTTTGCTTAGTTATATGTTTTGGTGGAATGGAGATGCTGAAGCCATTCACGATCCAGGAAGAAATGAGGATGTTGAAAGCAAAGAACTCTTGGCTTCCTGCTCAACAAAGTCTAATTTGTATTCCCTTCCTACACAATTAATATCATGTGTTTGATTCAGTCACAGTCTCTATTCTTTCATTAAGTAAAATACATATTGTAGTCATAAAAACAGTCTTTGAAATTTTTGAAGATTTATCTGGCTCTGTGGAATAAATGCCATGCAGTCATGTTGTCACTGGTGAATGCTTACTCACTATGACAAAGGATTTCTTGGACCTCATCCCTGCTAATAAAAGTCATATTTTTCTTTACTTTACATCCAGTGTTCACTTATGATTGAATATGTACATTGTTTGTCCTTCTGAGTCTGGGTTATCTCACTCAGGATGATATTTTCTAGTTTCATCCATTTGCCTGCAAACTTCATGATAGCATTGTTTTTCTCTGCTGAGTAGTACTCCATTGTGTATATGTACCACATTTTCTTTATCCATTCTTCAGCTGAGGGGCATCTAGGCTGTTTCCTTGTTCTGTCTATTGCAAATAATGCTGTTATGATCACAGTTGAGCATGTGTCCTTGTGGTACGATTGAGCATTCCTTGGGTATATACCGAAGAGTGGTAGCTGGGTCTTGAGGAAGAATGATTCCCAATTTTCTGAGAAAGTGCCATACTGATTTCCAAAGTGGCTGTACAAATTTGCATTTCCACCTACTGTGCAGGAGTGTTCCCCTTGCTCCACATCTTCTCCAACATAAGCTGTCTTCAGTGTTTTTGATCTTAGCCATTCTGACAGGTATAAGATGGTATCTCAGAGTCATTTTGATTTTCATTTCACTGATGACTAAGGATGTTGAGCAAATCCTTAAATGCCTTTTGGCCATTTGAGCTTCTTCTGTTGAGAATTCTCTGTTTAGCACTGTAGCCCATTTTCTAATTGGACTGTTAGATATTTTGATGTCTAGTTTCTTGAGTTCTTTATATATTCTGGACTGCAACCCATAGCTCCATAGAGGCTAACTAGTAAGGATTGCTTGGCGATGGAGAAATGCATAAGATCTACATGAGCAAACTGGGAGTTTGGGGGGTAATGAAGGGCAAGAGATGGGGGATGAGAGCTTAGGGGAGTGGGAGGTTCAAGCTGGAACCCGAACAGAGTGGGAGAACAAGGAAAGAGATATCATGATAAATGAAGACACCATGGGAATAGGGAGAAGCAGAGTGCGAGAGGTTCCCAGGAATCCACAAGGATGACTCCAACATAGACTACTGGCAATAGTTGACAGGGTGCCTGAGCTGGCCTACTCTGGTTATCAGATGGCTGAATACCCTAACTGTCATCATAGAACCCTCATCCAGTGACTTATGGAAGCAGATGCAGAGGTCCATGGCCAGGTCCCAGGTGGAGCTCCATGAGCGCATTCGATGAGAAAGAGGAGGGATTCTATGAGCAAGAAATATTAAGACCACATCTGGAAAAAGTACAGAGACAACTAGCCAAACTAGTGGAAACACATGAATTGTGGACCAATAGCTGAGGAGCTCCCATGGTACTGGACTAGTTCCTCTGGATAAGCAAGACAGTTGTTTAACTTGAACTGTTTAGGGGCCCCAAGACAGTGGGATTGGGACCTGTCCCTAGTGCATGAGCTGGCTTTTTGGAGCCTAGTGCCTATGGTGAGACACTTTGTGCAGCCTTGGTGCAGGGAGGAGAAGCTTGGACCTGCCTCAACTGAGTGTACCAGGCTCCTCTAACTCCTCATTGGAGACCTTGCCTCAGAGGAGGTGGGAATGGAGGGTGAGTTAGGGGGGAAGGCTTTGGGGGGAGGGAGGAGGGAGGACAGGTAAATCTGTGGTTAGTAGGTGAAATGAATAGAAAAATCTCTTAATAATATATATATATATATATATATATATTCATATATAGAGTCATATTTTTGCTCCTGAGGTCAAGGTCACTGGTCACAGCTCCATTAATGTTGCTTCTATTCATCCTGAGAAATGATTTAAAATGAAATTCTTTGAAAGTAGCCACTCTTAGCCTGATTTCTGTGAGAGTGTTCAAGAAACAGAGGTGGGGAAGGGGCTCTGTGAAGGTCTTGAGAGGGACAGGTGAGCTCTGAGTGTCATGACTCTTCCCTGGAATCACATTTCTTAGAATTCCTCTCTCAGATACCTGCCCACCACGAGATGGCTTCCCTTAGCCACAGCTATGTTGGTAACATTGGAAGCCTCTTGGTATATGGCAAATGTGTCCCTAGGTGAAGAAGATGTTAAGGTCATGTGTTATTCCCAGTGTTACAATGGTCCTCACCCCACTGTTGTCTAGACCATAAAAGTGATGAGTTGCCAACATTCTTCTATGCAACCATATCTTCTCTGGAATCAGCTCTCTCTCCTCTGAGGGAGGTGTAATGTATTCCTGTTAGTGTTCTGGATCCTTGGGATGAGGGCTAGATTTGCCACAAACAATTGTATTGGGATCATGGGAGGACAAGAAAACATCTTTATTTGTGGGTGATTTGTCAGTAGTTTGATTTGGAAAGTGTTGACATGTCCTGCATGTATAAACCATAACATTCTACTTCTGAATCCCAAAGTCTCATGAGCATCACACAATGAAAAATATGTATTCATGTAACTTTATGAGTCCTCAGAGTCTTAATAGTCTCTAAAGTATTCAAAAGTCACCAAATTAAAAATTTCAACTGAGATTCAAGGCACACTCTTAGACATGAGCCCCTATAAAATAAGAAAGAGAGTTACATCTGTAGCATGAATCTTAGGAGGTCTTAGTAAAAACAAACCCAGAGCCATGTATTGGGGTGAATGCTGAAAGATCAGAGAAACAGAACAAGCCACTAAGAATCTCTTGCACTGAGGATGGGCCTTGCTATCCCCCATCATGTATCCATCTTATCTAGCTTCTGTCTGTGGCCCTCTTGTTCTGTGGAGAAGGATGCCTCCTTATGGCTTGTGTCTCCTGTGCTGACTGAGATTCCCTGAAAGGTTATGTATGTCAGCCTTCCTTCAGAGAGCAGCTGAGCTTGTGTAGGACTCTGTTTGATTTCTCTGGCTGTTGAAACATGTTGTCACAAACATAGTGGCTTATACATCTGCAGTGGGGGAGACATCATGACCATGGATTAAGGCTCTTTTTCCCAGGTGAGGCTCATCTATTGCACTCTGGGTATGGAGATCCCTGTGAGTTCTGCATATGTGGGGGAAATTCTACTTTCTTTCATAAAATTAAATGTACTGGCTTAAAACAACACATGGTTTTCCTTGCATGTCAGAGGTCCAGGATGGTTGTAGATGACTGGATTCCTTCTGGAGGCTCTTGGGGAGAATGTGTTCTTTTGTGTAGTTCTTTTGCACAGATAATTCCAACAAAGGAAAGAGGCTGCACAGCTGCCATGCAGTCCCTCTTATCCCTGGTGTCCTACAGCAGTCTTCTGCCATGCAGTCCCTCTTCCCCCTGGTATTCCATAGCAGTCTTCTGCCATGCAGTCCCTCTTCCCCCTGGTATTCCATAGCAGTCTTCTGTCATGCAGTCCCTCTTCCCCCTGGTATTCCATAGCAGTCTTCTGTCATGCAGGAAATGGGTGCAGTGAAGGGACAGTCTCTGTAGAGTTTGTATGCTCAGGGTTGACTGAGGAAGTACTGCCTTGTAGAAGAATCTGTAGGTTAAGATGATGGTCAGCCATTCGATTCATGAATATAGGATGTCTTTGCTGCTCCCAATACCCCCTTAACCCCCCTCTCTTTTCCTTCTCCTAGCACATTGAGGGTCAGTCAGCCATTAGGGAGGAGCTTACCAGCAGTGGAGATTGCCTATGTTGTTTCACAGACCTCAGGGCTGCAGCCTAATGAACAGCTTGTAGACAGGCGGTCCATCCCAGCACTTGTATCTTCATGTCACCTGGGAGCACCTTTATTCTCCCATGCAGCATGCCCCATTCAAACTGTTTTTCTCATACAAAATAATTTACATTACCTTCTCAAGAATGACACATCATAACGACTTTTCCACACATCATTAGTTTTGGTTGATTTTCCTCACCCCTTTTCTCTTCCATCTCTCCACCTCTTTGCCCACTTAAACCTTTCTTTCCATTTACAGTATTCCTTTCACTGCTTTTCAGGTCACATGTATTGTCCTACTTTTCCCTTAGAGGCACTCTGATTTTGCCGTCTCAAGAGCCCCCTTTTTTCAGTAAGTCATGATCTGCATATGAGAGAGAAGAAGCAGTGTTTTTCTTTCTGAGTCTGGGTTACATCCCTTAATTCGAATATTCTTCAGTCCCGTGCACTTTCCTGAAAATCGTACAATTTCATTTTTCTCTATGTCTGAATAAAATTCTGTTGTGTATGCACACTTCAATCTCATTATCCGTTCATCAGTTGATGCATATCTAGGCTGATTCCATTTTCTATCTATTGAGAATGGAACAGCAATGGATGTGGGGTTTCGTGTATCTGTGGGAGACTATAATATCTTTTGGGTGTATGTGCACAGAAGGGTGTATAGTAGTTCTGTCCAGTTTTTGGAGAAATCTGCTGTACCACTTTCCCCTCTCACCAACAGTAACATCCCACCTTTCTCTACATCCTCATCAGCATTCATTATTTCCTTGATGACTTCCGTTCTAACTCGGGTGATATAAGATTGCATTTCATGCAGATGGAGAATTGGCTCAGTTGTTAAGAGCACTGGCTGCTCTTCTAGAGGACCCAGATTGTATTCCCTACACCCACATGGAGGCTCAAAATTATTTGTAATTCCAGTCCCAGGGGACCACATGTCCCCTTTACCACCAGGCATGCATGTAATTCCAGTCCCAGGGGACCCCATGTCCTCTTTACCGCCAGGCATTCATGATGTTTTGCACAAATTAAC